CAGCCCAAGCTGTGTCTTGCACGGCATAATTTGCTTTTTTTAAATCTTACTTCATGTTTATATATTCAGTAAAATTATCTATTCAGTCCAATTAGTAAAATCATATTTCAGGAAGAAAAAGGTATGAATGAGAACAAGTTTCTTCACAGCAATATATTCATTCTCATTTATAACTTTTTCTACATTTGTTGCTATGAACACTGTTCATTCTTATTTTTCAGGTCTCTCATATGCAAAGTACTGTCTGAAACTATTGTATACAATGGAAACATACCATAGCTACATGAAAAACAGACAATGTACTTGAAAAATTATAGTCCACATAAGTCCTTAATGAAGTTTCAACATGGCAGTCTGAACACAGAGAAAGGATAAAACCCAAAGGCATTTCCCATGATAATGCCATTACCTATATTAGTAAGCACATAGACAACTTACACACTAGATTGCAGTGTTTAATCTTTGCTGCTATAACAAAAAACAGGAACTGAAATGCACACATCATTTTCTGGGATGACACTGTCAAAGTCAAATGCATGCACACTAATTGGTAACACAAAATATACATACCTCTGTGCATAAAAAGTAATCTTGATAGCAAACAAGTAGAAGAAAAAAATGTGCTACTGCCTGTTCCATCTCTATCAGACATCACACAAGAAATACCTCATGCCAAGTCAATCTAATCTACTTATCACTTCAATAGCATTGTACTTTGGTTAGCAAAGAGCCATAAACAGATGTGACAGCCTTAATTTATATGCCTAACAATATCCGGTCATGGTATAAATTCCTGTTATGTGCATGATGCTTTCGACCACCTAATTATGGGATACATAGTTAGAATTTTGAGTCAAGATTTAAATCAAATTCCAAATTCCAGCATATCTGTAACACATTAAATCAGAAAACATATAACTTCACAAACATATGTGTTCTCATTTTGTTTATATATATTTTATATAACTTTTTATATAACTTTATTTTTTGTATTTTTTTATTTTTTAAAGACAATTACCTTGGAAAAATGCAATTCAATCAATAGCACCAAATATATGCATTTCATAAAGAATAAAGATTAAAGTAAGGAAGGATCTATAGTGACAAAAACACAAGAATAAAAATACTTTGCTTGATGAAAAAAAAACTATCATACATATACATATACATATACATATACATATATATAATATATATTTGTATATATATATTTGTGTGTATATATATATATATATATATATATATATATATATATATTATCATATTATATTATATATATATATATATATATATATATATATATATATATATATATATATATATATATATATATATATATATATATATATATTATCATATTATATTATATATTATATAATATATAATATGATAAAATATAATATATTATATGACATAATATATATATATATATATATATATATATATATATATATATATATATATATATATATATATATATATATATATATATCAAAGTGAATTGACAATAAACACCTAAAAGAAAAAAAATACTCTAAATGATTCTTTTTAATGTATTTGTAACCATGGGTGACTCCATATTTTCAAAAATAGAAATATATATTATAGTTCTTCCACAATCGGGGCTTCCGCTATGATTATTTCATATCAGAAATTTATATTTCATTTGTAACATCAGCTACATTATATCACAGCTTGATAATTTGCAGAGTTTACACATTCGGGTATGTCTCTGCACAATCTTGGAAGGAGAATACACATTATCATATTAACCAAAAGGCTTTCGCACTTATTACTCTTTACTCTTCGTCAACCTCTTCAATAGGAATGTTTTCTGATTTGCCATTCCTGTTGTTCACTGTCCTTGTTGCAGCTCTTTCAGCAGGCAGATCCCACACAGCAGTTGGTTGAAATGTTTGGAGTATTACTCTATCATGGATATTGATATTTCTGAAGAATTGCAAGCCTGTCAGTAGTTCTATGTCTTTCAGATTTGTCAAGTGGTACTGCAAGTATTCCATATCATTCTGCAATAACACAAAAGGGAAATATAGAAAAATAATTCTTTTATAAAACTGGAAAATAATAGCAACAGTATATACACACATAACTTCACATATACTCACCATGAAACAATTATCCTGGACATCTGAATTCGGAAAGACAAATGGTAATATATCCAGCTGCTCTACTGGACAATTTACAACTGGAGAACCATTACAAGAGGTAATCAGTAAATAGTAATCACTTGGGACCAGCGGTACCACTGTTTTCCTGAAAAGATTAAAGTATGGTTACCCTATGTTGCTGGAGAAGAATATACCATCTGCAGCATTAAAAATCAACAATAACATTCTATTGGAAAGTGCTTAGAAAGACTCATATCAGCATACAATGGAAATGAAATGTAATAATGAATAATTCATAATAAGAAAAATATACACACCACATTATATACATATAACACTAAAAACAACTAACTATAAATACTCACATAATATCTCTCACATCATCCTTATTCCCATTAAGGTCATAATCAAAGACAGGACCAAGAACAACATTAATTCCCCCTTTCTTTGCTGCCCACCACTGAATAGCTCCAACCATGGCTTTATAAGCGCCCTTCATGAACCCAGCCCTCATAGGAGCCAGGTTAGACAGTAGGTAGCCTTCTGCAGCCAGCAGTTCCTGAGTTTCAAGTTCTGGAAGAGTTAAAATCAAAATGTTGGCTCTCTTTATGACTAAGGAAGCTCAATTAAGTTATAACCTAATAAAGTTGAGTCAAGACTTGTGTGTGGAGAGGTACAAAATATACCTACTTAAACCTCACACAGTCAGAACAGCCTATGCACAGAAGCAAAAGTTCAAAACTATCACAGAATAACTAAGTGACACAGAATATAATATAATTTAAACTACTGATATGGACCACATTCATTTACAACTAATCCTGGACTAATTGCTAGCCCTGTATGGAACACATACTTTTCTTTGTCACCCAAAATAATGATAAAGGGCTCAGTGCAGTTTTTCAATACAGCAACTAATTTATCATGATGGTATCTATTTCATATGAATCATTCTTTTATCACTGTAATGTTGATGATACATTTGTATTTATGATCATTTGTTATTGAGAAAAATAGAAAAAACCTGCTTCCCATCCCACATGCAGCACTCAATAGTTGATTGAGTATGGCACCCCTCAGGCTCGACCAATTGGCTTCCAGATAGCCTCCCCTGAGACTAGACAAATTTGTCAGATCTTAATGAAAGGGTTTAAATTTACTCTGCATCATTAAAAGCTACTGGATGCTCATACAATAAATTAGTTAAGTTTGGTGATATGATAATGTTTAAAACATAAAAAAAAATTATATCAGGTAAACTGACAAAGTGTATGTCATGAAGTATTTGTATGTACCATTTCATAGAATATACTACACACTAGGTAAAATTAGAAATTTATACATTACTGTTTCACCTCAAATACACAAGGCTTCATCTAGTCTACATAAATACAAAATATATTACTGAAATAGTAATAAAATGCAAAACACACACAAAAAAGAAAAGAAAATGCATCATCTAACATACCCTCTGGATATAACTGCTTAAGAGTTATTTCCTTATCCTTATAAGCCTGACTGTTAAGCATTTTGTCACACTGGTCTTCTGGAAGTCTTTCTAATCTATGGTCTGCTTGCCAGCATGGTGGAGGTTTCTCCGTCTCCTGTAAAAACAACTGCTTTTACTCAATGCTCTACATTTACAATGCAGACTGAAATATGCAGTGTTATTTATTGAAGTTTGAGGCATTTTACTGTTCTAGTTTTTTGTTCCTAATGATTATCAGAAAAAGAATAAGTAGTGTTATACTGACAGTTACTCGGTTTTAGTAACATAAAATGCTGATGAGGAATGTCTACAACCTAGTTACTTTATTATCAAAAGGAAAGGGATTTAAACTTCAAATACTAACCACAGCTATAAAAACAATCTATAGATAACTGGTAAGTGCCATTATTGAACCATTATAAATACTTCTTTCTTGAGCACATGAAACAATTTTTTTTCATTTTTTTACATTTTTGAGCCTTAACTTTTTTTTATACCGAAGGCAGTTTTATACTATTGTCTGTATTTTTCAGCACAGAAGAAAAAAGGATATATACCTCTTGAACAACCTCCGTGCCGTCAGTTTTTTCAGGGTCTTCACTCTCTGTTACTATTGTCTTGTTGATTGTGAAGCTCACCCATAATCCAAGATTCAGCTGCTCTTGTAGACCTGGCAGTATAAAAATATATTTTTTTATGAAAAAAAATTGTTAAATGAAAATAATTGCAGTTCCTTCCTTAGAAGGAATTTGTAACTGCCAGTTTTGACTCTTGTATCCAAACACATGCAACTTTTTCTGATCTATATATGGCATTTTCATAAAACTATATGAAATTCACCTTTCATTTTATTCCAATTAAACCATACTAGCTAGATTATAACTCAATTCAGCACACAAGTAACTGCAAAAGCAGTTAGCAATTCTGATGTGATGAACACTCAAGTTAAGTCCTAATTTTCCCTGAACCAATACATACAAACAACTTTTTTCCTTAGAAAAAAAAAATAGACCAAGAGTACCAACCTATAACATAATCACTGTGTAGGAGGATCTTCATCTTTCCCTGTAATTTATCAGGATTGGAATATCCAGCAAGGCCCCATGGATTATGGTAATTTTGCTGGGAGAGCAAGTACGTTTTCAGCTCCTCTTCACTCATAGCACTTGCAGAGTGATCATAATCCTCAATCTCGGTAGCATTGTTGGTGCTGTTACTGCTGATATTTGCAGTGACATAATCTAACTGGAGAGAAAGTATAACCATATTTATAATCATAAACTAGAAATTAAATATTTTCATCTAAAAGTAAGATATAAAATAGATACCCAGTTAACTGTTTTTTTTCATTATTTATTTTTTATTTTATTATTATTATTCTC